CCCTTTCTCCCTTTCAGCTTTAGAAACAGAAGCCAAGTTTCATATCTGTGGGGAGATGAGAGAGAACCCAAGCTTCTGCCCTCTCCCCACTACCAGCACACGAACATGAAGACCTCCTTCAGTGGCTGACAGACATCCCTGCTGTGTTATGCTGTGCACAGCTGCGATGTGTCTGTGCTTCAAAGGGCCCGTCTTATTTCCTTCACTCCACACAGGACAGGACAGGACAGATTTCCAGGTGTCCCATGGGACCTTTGCCCCCACTATTGCGCCATTGGAGGTGTTATGTTACAGGAAATGTGATGTTTTGCGGATGTGATTATGGCTGTTTGTTACAATTGACCTTCCGGTACAATAACTGAGAGGGGCTACTCATTTGATGAAGGCGTCCTTAGGAATTAATAGGACACGTCAGAGACATCAGAGAATATGAAACATGGGAACGGTTTGGTTCCTCACTGGCTGGCTGTCATGAGGAAGACTACCGTGGTAGGAACACTGACAGCCATTGAGGACCACAAGGCCAAACACAAGGTTGAAAAGTGAAGGAAAAGTTAGGGTCAGGAATACTGTTTGCAGTAACAGACCTCAGACTCTCTGACTATAAACTTAAACCGAAACAAAAACTCTTAAAAAATACTTATGCCTCTGCTCAGCCACAATTGAGGTGATCTCTGTTAAACACAAATCCATCAAATACATGATATGTAAATATATCATTTCTTCTTTGGAAACACAGTACCAAGTATAATAAAGCTATTAAAAATTAACAATGCAATGGTTATAGGGCCTACTATTTTACTCAGACTATGAATATAATATACTATCTCTTACCACATTATTATATGTTTATAAATGCATTTCATCATAATTACTTAGATACAGAGGAAGCATCTTTAACGTATAAGTCATAAATCTCTGACCTCACTAAAATCTAATTAATTAGAAACCTAATATTTAAAAGGCTCTCACCATATGGCCCTGTCTATCAAAGGAACTTGGAATGACACAGTGCAGACTATAGTAGCATATGGTCTTTTCTAAGATTATCTTTACTTTAATGAAACTATCTTTCTGAAATATGCTTAATGCTTTTACCTATTTTATACACAAGAAATATGCAACCACCTGAAACACTTATTTGAAATAACCTGTAAAGTCTCACCATGCTTAAATATCAGTTTCCTTAATAGTTATTCTCATAACTACAGGGTGTTTTAAGTATAAAATGTTATTTTCTGAAAACATAAAATATGAATGATGGTGGTTTTAAAAAAAGAAAATCTAATTAAAAAAAATAAACTGACACCTGTAAGACTCTGGGGGTCAGAAAGAAGGAGACAGACAGGAGAGTTAAGATAAATGATGAATAGAGAGAAAACAGAAATACACTCCCAGAGAGTCTGGAGAGACAACTGAAGAGCCCTGAACCACCCCCCCACACACACATATTCAATACAAGAGATGAAGTATAAGGGATAAGGTTTGGAATGCTTTTGGACTATGAAGACCTGATATTAACCAAAGATCAACTCTAGGTAAAAACACAAAGCTCAATACAAAATTAAGAAGGGAAACATCAAAAGGGAGGAAGGTACACAGCATAAAGGGAACGGTGGGATCCCCTTCACAGGTCCATGGTGGACAGACACATTTGAAACACCCCAAAACCACGGAAATTATGGCTTTAGGACTAGAAGCATGAAGGAATCTTACACAACTCAGCAAACCCATCCAATCCCATACAGATGGGTAAATAGTAAAGGACAAGCAGAAAACAGAGGATAACAGGATTACCATCAACAACAGGAGCAGGGAGATTGAATCAGGACAAGAATAGTGATAGGAGATAAAGAAAAGAGAAACCATAATAGAGGGAGCCAGTATAGATTTGAAAAGAAATCTGGCACTAGGGAAATGTCCAGAAACCCACAAAGATGAGGCCAAATAACAATCTGAGCAATAGTGGAGAGGCTACCTTAAATGTCCTTCCCTGATTATGAGATTGATGACTACCTTATATGCCATCCTAGAGCGTTCATCCAGTAGCTGATGGAAACAGAGGCAGACACCCACAGCTGAGCACTGGGTGGAACTCCTGGAATCCACTTTCAGACAGGGTAGAGTGATGAGAAAAGGGGTCAAGAACACGCAGGAGAAACTCACAGAGACAGCTGGCCTGAACAAGGGGGAACTCATGGAACCCAGACTGATAGCTGGGAAACCAGCATAGGACTGACTCAGACACCCTGAAAGTGGGTGTTAGAAAGACTGGGCAGTCTAAGGGACCTCTGACAGTCGAACCAGGATGTATCCCTGGTGCAAGAACAGACTTCAGGAGCACATTTCCCATGGAGGGATACTCCCCTTAGCCTTGAGGCTGGAGGGAGGGCTATTCCTCTCCCCTAATGACTTGATAGCTTTTGATGATCCCTCATGGAAGGCCTAACACTCCCTGGGGAGTGGATGTGGGATGGGATATATGGGTTAGTGGGGGACATGGGAGGATAAGAAAAAATATTTCAAAAAAAAAAAGAAAAAGAAAAAAAAGAGTAAGAACAAGAGATAAAAACCTACTTTAAAAAAAATAAAGAAACAACAGCCTATTACCATGAAATGAACTATACAATAGCATGAAATTGCACAGCACTTAAAAAAGCAACACTAGCTATAACCAGGCAAGTTTAGAAATAATGATAGAGTGTGGAAAAGGAATCAGAACTTTAAAATCCATTCAGACCAAATGAGGTGGGACATGACTATCAGCAAACATGATGGAAAATTCCCCAATTAAAAAAAATTGGTTAAAATAAAATATTCATATCTAATGAGGTAAAATCACTAAATAAAGAGCCAATATCATTCTGATAAATGAAATGACTATTCTGCAGGATTCCTCAGTCTAAACACAAAACACCCAGCAGATCTGTGGCTACATTGGACATTATAATTCTGACAGTATTTTGTGTATATTGCAGGATTAAGCTAATGTATAAAATCATTGGTAAGTTGATCATCAGAATTCTCCTGCAGGATGAGTAGGTCAGTACTCTATGAAGGCATAGAAGAACCCAGTGTGGCAGATTAGCACATGAAGTCGTTATGGGAAGGAATGATCCACTTAACACTGAACCTCTTGCCGTGGCTGAGGAGTCAGGATCTCCGCTGTCACACAGCACATCAGGCTCCTAAATGTTACTCTTCAAATGCCATTCTGGTCTGAAAGAACTGATGATGTTTAATGACAGGAGTGAAAAGACAAAACAGAAAAGTGTACAGGAATCACGACACAGCCCCTTTCTTCATAACCATGCACAGGTGAGCAGCACTGATGTTCAATTCAGATGTCAACTGCCCATAAAGTTCAAATGTTGAAATCTTCCCTCTGCAAAGACTGAGACACAAACGACAAAACCAACTGGAGCTCTGTGTATCAAGACATGTGAAGTGCATGGGCCCAGTTCTAATATGAGCTGCACGCTTGTTAACATGATCATACTAGTGCCTCCCCTTCTTCCCTGTGACCTCATTCTAGCTGCCAGTCAGACTTCCCTTCACCCTACCATCCATATGCCAGGAGACCTGAAACACGCAAGATCGGTAGGGATTCTAGTTTTAGTCTACATACGGGGTTGAAGGGAAGTGTAAAGTGCCTGGACATTTTAACAGAAAACTTGCAAGGAAATGTAAATATCTTGCTGCCAGGAGGCAGTCTGCAGGACTGATGTCCTGGAATGGGCAGGGACCCCAGGCTGTGGTCATGGCTCCCTTTCCTGTGTTTCCTAGCCTGTACATTCACTCTCCCTCAGACTGATCCAGAAAGAGCTGATCCCAGCGCTCATGGTATCTTCATTTATTGTGTTCATCAATTCCTCAAGTACGTGTGAACACTCAAGTGTTCAAGTACCATTTCGTTCTAGAGACACAGAACTGAAAACAGATAAAGATGCAGATACCCACAGTTTGCAATGCCCTGTATAATATGTATGATGAGAGCCCTGTGATGTAAAATTGTTCCTAGGAAATATGGAGCCACTGGAGGACCTGGCGTTGGTGAATAACCTCATTAGAGCTCTACTCTGAAGAGGTTATGCTGTGTGTGGAGGAAACATGAAGAAAGAAGGAACGAGAAACCGAGGCATGTTTTCCACATCGCCAGAAAACGCGGACAGCTCCAGAGAGCAACAGTAGAGGCGCGTTTAAAGCAGGATCTGCTAAGAGTGCAGTGGCCACTGCTGCTGAGTGCTGCTACACTATACTCATCATCTCAGTGTCTACGAGTACATGCATAGGCTCTGGTCTTTACCATCCTGGCTTAGAGCTGTTCCCAGATGTGCCTAATGGAACAGAACTTTTAAAAAGGAGATACTACATCAGCATGACCTGAGACACCCTTCCTTCCCACAGCACACAGCATCTGCTTACATCCTGAGTGAACGGGGATTTTATTTCATGTTACATCAGTACCAGAAGACGCCTCGTTTCTGAGACAAAACACAATCCTAAGGGCATTAACTAAATATCCCCATAAAATCTAAAATCTTCTTACATTTTTAAAATTGTAAGAAGATCTTAGACTTTATGGGGATATTTATATTCTATTACCATGTTGTGGAGTTATATAGAAGAGCTTGCCTCCATCTTATAGATATATAAAACCATAAGATGACGATGACTATGAGTATTATAAAATAATTTCAGCACAGGTTCTTGGTTGGCATCTTTAAGTTTGTAAAATATATAGTAGTCAGACATTTACAAAAATTGTATTTATTACTTATTTTATAGCAAATTTAAAGTACTAATAAAGGCATCAAACTCTGATTACATATCATGATGCAACATTTTTTTTTCTTATTGATCTTCATAGAAGTCAAGCATAGTGTAAATAACATTTTGAGAACAGAGAATACAAAAGTGCAATTATTCTAGACTTACTTCTTATCCTTGATACTTTAATCTCATTACAACTTACAAATGGTAGAGAAAAGGAAACATACCTCAAGCGTTTCCTAACTATGAAACCTCGAATCCACCTCTGAATAATCAACACTGGTGAGTTATGAGCCAGAATCCCATTGATCCTTGAAATCATATGTTTGATATTATTAATTTCATCCTCATAAGTTGTACCCTGAATGGAAAAAAAATGTATTCAGCAATTTTTATCTTTCATTAAAGAATTTACTAAAGGTATCTTAAATAAGTTAATGAAACATTCAGCAGAGTCTTTTCAGCATAATGGTAAGTGTACTTTAATATTTATTAAAATATTAAACAGTATTTTTAAATAATTTCAATTTTCTGCACAATACTCAAGATTCTGATTAGCGTCATCTATCCCAGGCTGTTCTGCCAGTCTGGAAACACGCATGAAATTGTCACCATAGTAATCCTCCTGTCTAGAAGGCAGTGGTATGAACTGTTGCCTCTGCTGTGCACCATTGTAAAAGGGGGCCACACGTGGAATTCCTGAGCATCACACCACTTCCCAGCACTGCATAGGTCAGGTTTGCTGTTGGGCACTCTTGTGGGGACTAACTGTGACTGTTTGCAAATTCACAGACTTTGGGGTCATAGACTCACTAAGTCTCCTTGAAAACTGACTGTTTAGAAATAGTCACTTTTCCTTGTGTTTTAACTGCATAATAGTACATTAGAAATTAAATATTTATATTGTTTTAAGGTGCTGTTGAATGGGGAGATGTAAACCAATGCCTACTCAAACCTGACAGGAAAATACAAATGTCCAACTTGGAGAACCAATGAAGTTACTGGGTTTATTTACAGGACTGTGGGTGAGAGGTTACTTCAAGGCCCTCCTGTGATGACAGATGGGAGGATGCATGGCCCTCCCGTGATGACACGTGGGAGAAGCATGGCCCTCCTGTGATGACAGGTGGGCGGATGCATGGCCCTCCCGTGATGACACGTGGTCAGAAGATGGTGCTCCTGTGATAAAACATACGGGCAGCTCAGCACATCTGAGCTGTCTTCCATGCTGCTCTGGGCCTCTTCCCGGCTCCTTGCTTGGTAGACTCTCCTCAGCCTTCCGCACTGCTTACATAACCTTGGGGAAAGCTGGGGCTCGTGCATCTGATGGGCTTCATGCACTTCCAGAGTTTTAATCGGCCTCTCGTTGGGAACACACTGAGTCTTAAGCAGCTCACCAGACTAACCCTAAAATATTATCACTTCTGATCCATTCACAATCCACCGTTCTTTCCAGGTACTCAATTAAATCACAAAGCTTGCAGATTCCTGCATTCTTTACAGATAATCAAATTTTTTTATTGGTCCATCATTTACTTTCTTCCCCAATAGCAGTAAAATCATAGAAAAATGAACAAACAACTGCTAAGTGATGTGTGAATCGATTCCTGTTCTCTCCCTCGTCCTGAGAAGCCATACATGCTATCAGCAAACCAGAAAGTCCACGGCGCCCATCTTTGCACACAGCATTAGAGCTAGCTACAGTTCTGTAACCGCAGTGAAAGGTCAGCATCGGATTTCTTGACGCACAATGTTGGTTCTTCATTGTCTAGAGGTTTCCTCGCTGCTACGTCTCACCTAGCTTTGTTCTCTAAATAACACTTCTAACTTTTCTAAATCCTTCTGCTTAATCCTTGAGCATTTGCTATGAATCAAATTTCAAAGCATCTTACAGACAGCCTAGCACTTTCCAATGGCTGAACTACTGTCTCAAGGTATGAGTCTTCTGGAGTCAGTTCCTTCTTTTTGATGTTGATCAATCATCTCCTTCTGAGACAGTGATGTATTGTCAATCCTCCATTACACACCACAGTCTTGAGTTTTTACCTAACTCCAACATCTTAGTTAGGGTTACTATTGCTGGGATGAGAAAACATGACCAAAGCAATGTGGGGAGGAAAGGGTTTATTTGGCCTACACTTCCATTTCACTGTTCATCATTGAAGGAAGTCAGAACAGGCACTCAAATAGAACAGGAACATAGAGGCAGGAGCTGATACGGAAGCCATGGAAGAGTGCTGTTGTTTGGATTGTCCCTCCCTCCATGGTGCTCAGCCTTCTTTCTTATAGAACCTATGGTGTCCACACTAACAATGCACTGCGCCCTCCCACATCAATTGCTAATCAAGACCACAGCCCGATTTTATGGAGGCATTTTCACAATTGAGGCTCACTCTTCTCCAGTGACTCTAGCTTGTGTTAAGTTGACCTAATGCTCGCTAACACACTCAGTAATCCTGGAAGTCAGTAATGTTCCTTGTGTCCCAAAATGGTTCATTGCAGATTATCTTTCTTTCTCTAATCTCTGCTTATGTAAAGCTCCTGGATTCCCCCTTTGTGCTTACCTGAGACCTGACACTGATCTTCCAAATTCCATAGTTTACCTACTGATGATCTGATGAACTGTTTGGTTCCCACTGACCTATGAGAATAAGAGGTTTGTGAGCCAGCAATATTCCTTCCTTTCCCTGCTCATGAGTACTGTGGGTACCCCTGGATTTGAGTCATGATTCAATCTCTAAGACTGTTGCTTGAGGGAGTCTCAGAATGGAACAATTTCATCTCATCTTCTTAATTTAAAGCCAAACCCTTCTGCCACCCCCTAAGACCTCTACAGAGCACAGAGCTGCTACCTCCTCTGCAAAGGTCCAGCCCTCCTCTCTGGGACAGTAACCCCTTCCCAAAAGACAGATCTGCTCACCAAGACCTAGTTTGTTTTGAAATCAGACTAGCTTTTATCATAATGCAATTACATACACTATAATTATAAACATTATACAGCTGAACAACCCTTACACTTACATCTGTAGGTCTTCTGGCTTATCACTAGCACTTGGGCATCAACTGACTGCTTTCTTACTAAGTAACCTGTACTTAGGCCTGTGAGTTTGATTTGACAGTGCCAATCAATCTATTCTTAGCACACTCATTTTTCTCTCTCTTCTCACAGCTCCCTTCTCTATACTTTCCCTACTCCCTACAGATATATTTCTCTCTTTTAAAAATTTCATGTATGTATATGAGTGAGGATATGGTATATATGTATGTATATGATCATGTGTGTGAGTATACACGTGTTTGGAGGTTATTGGTCCTCAGCTTCCACTTTGTTTTGAGACAGTTTTATTGTTCACTCCTCTGTACACAGGTCAGCTGGCACAGGAACTTCCCGGGACTCTCCTGTCTCTACCCCACATATTACCCCAGATGCACAACGGTCACAGACATGCTCCACTGACAGGCTTTTAGGCGGGTTCTGGCAGTTAAAACAGTGTATATAGTGTTGTACAGAAAGCACTTCACCCACTAAGCGATCTCCACAGTCACCTACCTCTTTGTGAGACATTATTTTCTCTATTGTGCATGACAGCCATGAATTTCTGACCCTCTTAACCTCCTTAATGCAGGGATTATATGAGCCACTGACCAACTCTTTACCTTAATTCTTTTAATGAGCTGAAATTATACATTACATATATGTGTATGTATATTATTATTATTATTATTCCCAATACTACTCTTCTCCATCTGAAGTGTGCTTCTTCTACAAACTTTCAACAGCCAATGGTTTCTATTCAGTTAATTAGTGAGTTAGTTAGTTAGTTTCACCTTTATATGCTAACCTCTGATGATACCTTCCTTGCTACATTTTTTTCTGCCTTACCTATGCAAAATACCCTCACAGCTACACTTTAGGTCAGGAGTTACCTCTTAAATTACAGCCTGTAAAATGAACTTCCAGTTCCATTTCTCTGCATATATATCAAAAGCTGAAGCCATTATGCCCCCTACTTCAACCAATGCACACTTCATTCTATGTTGTCTATAAAGTCATTAAAACCACTCTTCATCATGTCAACTAAGTTAATAAACCCTTAATTCCTCTTTCTATTCCATCTCTTCCCACCATGGAATGCTTTAATTCTCTCAACCCTCTTCTCTACCGGTGTACTAAATCAGACCTTATTAGCCATGAGCAAACTTCAGTAATAAATTCTCATTTCTAACCCACTCTAGTAAAAAAAAAAAAAAAATCAAGAAGCCATTAAGCTAGGATGGGTCTGGTATTGTAAGTCCCCCTGAGAACAAAGCAAAGCCCAGTGTAAACAACAGGGTAAACTAGCAACTGTACCAATCAGGACCTGACACCTAGACTGTGACTGTCCTAATTCCACGAGCATGACTTAAAACGCCTCCCTTCCCCTAGCATGCTAACTGCTTGCACTCTGACGCTCCTCAGACATGTGAATCAGGGGATGTTTAAGAATACAGAATGACTTTTCTAGAATGCAAAGCTCTTAAATATTTCCTCGGGATTTTACAGAATGAAGTCCTATCTTCTTGTCTTATATTTAACGTTTTACTACTGTGTTGCTGGCATGCTCAAACATGTCCCCCTGACCTCCAGAAACCCCAAACCACTTTCTGCCATCACTCCAATTTGTCAAAATGGTTCAACAGCTCTGTGTCTGCAAATGTCTCCTACTGTCTCAATTGCTCAGTACCAAAGCCAAAACTTTCAATTTTCCAGAGATTTCTTGCATTAAAAACAAACTTAAGTATAAATGTCTTATTTTTATTATGCTTCCTTTTTATTGTGTAACTTATTTTAAATAGTATTTAACAACTTGAATGATCTTTTAAATTCCATACTTGTCCCGTATTCATGATCTGTCCCGTTATTTTTCTTTCCTCTCTCCTACCCTCCCTGCTCCTCTTTTCTTTGCTTTTCCATCATAGACAGAGTCTTCCTCTGTACTTCACTATGTAGCCCAGTGTGAACTCACTTCCCAGGGTTAGCATTGTAGGCATGGGCTTTTACACTCTGTCTTTATTGTGTCTCTTGAATTTGCACTAATTGTTCTGTATGGTTTACATATGTGTATAGATGTTCTAGATATAAACTCTGTTTTGTATTTTTTTTCTCAATATTTTCACAAAGTAACTGAACAATGAATGTTCAGCTTCCAAAAGTCTTTAGATGATTATCTTATAAAATGCCAACAAGAATGTCATTGCTGACTTATACAGAAGCCAAATCCTTTGATATCTAAGCAATTGGAATCATCCCTTTTCCAATGAAAAGCCATTCCCTCCATCTATGGAGCTCTGACCATACAAAAGCTGGCTGCCTTGAATACC